CAGACACCCTCAGACATACACAGACACATACACACACATGTATACATACACTCAGAAACACACATACAACACACTCAGACACACACACAGGCAGACACACACACACACACACACACCCAGACACATGCACAGACACACTCGGATACATACACGCTCAGACACATACACACGCTCAGATACATACACACACACACTTCAGACACACGCACACACATGCATTTTCACAATGGGGCTGCAGAGGAATACTTACAGTGTGTCCGTGCATGCTGTCAGTGAGGAGCGCTTCTGCCTGTGTGGAGTCCCCACCCCCTCCCTCCTCTGCTCTCCTATGGAGATCGTCGTGTAGAGCAGGGCGGTTTCTGAGCGTCCGCCGGGAGAGCTCTTTACAAGTTGTCATTTATACAGAAGTGAGCAGTGCAGGATGTGGTGAGGTAGTGGAAGGCTGAAAAAACAAAAAAAAACCCTGGCGGGCAGCGTGGGCTCAAGGGGCAGCTGCTTTGGGCCCCACAACAATGACTGGGCCCTGGGCAGCTGCCCCTTTTGCCCCGTGTTAAAGACATCCCTGATTTCATTGTAGTTAAGTTTCTGGAGAAGGCTGAGGGTTTTGGGAAGTAAGATATGTAAGGAAGAAGGGAGTTTAGGGTAGGGTTCAAGGACCAGAGGTCAGGGCTATGAAAATGAGAAGCCTGCTAAGTATTGTTCTCTAGAGGTTACGTAATGGGCTATTTAGGGAGCCTAAGGGGAAGGTTGGGTTGCCTTCCTTATGAATAACTGTGATATGTGCACTTAGGGAATCTCTGGAAAAATGGGAACTTTGGATTAGGAATAGAAGGTGGTTGTGAGGCGGGGGAGGAGCTGTGGGAGAAACATTTTATAGTACTGAATTGTTAAGCTGTCAGGGAGTGAAGATTTACCAAGTTTCATGGAAGTGATTTTTAGACCATAGCTCCTGAGGCATAATCAGAATGTTTAGAGATAAAATAGAGTTCGTGTCTAGTTGAGAGAGGTTTGATGAGGCATTGTATGTCATGATTCTGTTTACTAATTCCAGAGAAGATTGAGCTGAAGGTTCTGTATTTATGTTATAAAGAGAGGAGTAGAAAGAACCAAATACAGCTCTGCTCAAAAGTTTGCATACCTTGGCAGAAATTGTGAAATTTTGGCATTGATATTGAAAATATCACTGAGCATGCCAAAAAACTCTTTTATTTAAGGATAGTGATCATGTGAAGCCATTTTTTGTCACAAAGTTGTTTGGCTCCTTTTTTAAATCATGATAACAGAAATCACCCAAATGGCCCTAATCAAAAGTTTACATACCCTGGAATGTTTGGCCTTGGTACAGACACACAAGGTGACACACACGGGTTAAAATGGCAATTAAAAGTTAATTTCCCACATCTGTGACTTTTTAAAATTGCGATTACTGTCGGTGCATAAATAGTTTGAGTTTGTTAGCTCTTATGTGGATACACTGAGGCTAGATATTGAACCATGGGGAGCAGAAATGATTTGTCAAAAGACCTGCATAACGAGGTAATGGAACTTTATAAAAATAGAAAAGGATATACAAAGATATCCAAAGCCTTGAATATACCAGTCAGAACTGTTCAATCACTTATTAAAAAGTGGAAAATTCAGGGATCTCTTGATACCAAGCCACGGTCAGGTAGACCATGAAAAATTGCAACCACAACTGCCAGAAGTGTTCAAGATACAAAGAAAAACCCACAGGTAACCTTGGGAGAACTACAGGCTGCTCTGTAAAAAGTGGTTGTTTCAAGGAACAATACTTGAACAAAAACAAACTGCATGGTGAAGTTGCCAAAAAGAAACCTTTACTGTACCAATGCCACAAAAAATCCAGGATACAATATGCCAGCAACACCTTCACAGCTTCTGGCACACTGTAACCTGGATTGACAAGACCAAAATAGAGCTTTATGGTCAACAAGACCCATAGTGACAAACATACTGTCCCACACTGTCAGGGCTGCACTGTCAGGGCTGCAGTTACTGATCGCTCATTTTATTAATTCAGGAATGGAAGGGGCTGGTAAAATGTGACATATTTACTGGAACCACGCGGCCAGCTGCCAGCAGGGGTAAACATATTGTAAGGGACACCGCCCACTAACTCCACTGAATAGGCCCCCAGCGCACGGAATCGAAGTCAGCTTGTTCACCAGGGCCCCTGATGGTGGGGATGGACCCAGGTCGTGGCTACCGCCAAGGGCTCCCGCGGGGAAGAGTCTGATGTGAGGAAAATGGATGAGCAAGGTCAGACGGCCGGGTTTACTATACAAGGCAGCGGGCATAGAATGGTTGAACTACAGCCAGGTCAGCAACAGCAGGTCAAATCACAGGGGCATTCAAGAGAGAGGTCAGGCAAAGCAAGGGTCAGGATAGATCAGGTACAATCATTGTCATTACAATTCACAGGTTCACAGGTTCACAGGATGCAGGGAAGACCAGAAGGCACTGAATGACAGCTCAGGGCCCTTTAAATATCCCGCCCTGCGCTGCCAGTGGTGCCCAGCGGCTTCTACTGCGCATGCGTGAACTCGAACGCCGCGGCCGGCCCGGACCTAGTGCCCGTGTCCCTGCACAGGGCGGTGCACTGCGCCTGCGCCGGGACCATCGCGGCGGGGATCGGAGAGATCCCTGACACATATGGTGCAAAAGAAGGGTGATGTGAGGCAATTACTGGAACTGATCCCCTGTATGGCTCTCTCTGCAGCAGCTAAAAGCTGACAGGAGGGAAAGGAGAAGAAGTCAGCCTTCAGCTGCTGCAGAAAGAGCCATACAGGAGATTGGTTCCAGTAATTGCCTGTCCGCTGTTCCGATCACCCTCCCTGCCCACATCTTGCCATCAAATTGATGGCAAGGTGAATGCAGCATGTTGCAGCAGACAATTTGCATTCTTCTTCACGAAGGCTTCTGCTGTTGAACTTTCCAACAGGCCAAGTTGACCTTGCAGTGGTTACAGCAGATAAAGGTGAAGGTTTTTGAGTGTTCATCACAGTCTCCTGGCCTTAATATCACTCTGCGGAGATCTCATATGTTTGATTCATGCAAGATGACCAAAGGCTTTCCATGACTTGGAGGCATTTTGCCAAGACGAATGGGCAGCTATACCACCTGCAAGAATTCGGGGCCTCATAGACAACTATTAAAAGCAACTACATGCTGTCATTGATGCGAATAGGGAAATACACAGTATTACGAACTAAGGGTATGCAGATTTTTGAACAGGGGTCATTTCATTTGTTTACTTGTTGCCATGTTTTGTTTTATGATTGTGCCATTTGTTATGACCTACAGTTGAATATGAATCCCATAAGAAATAAAAAGAAATGTGTTTTGCCTGCTCACTCATGTTTTCTTTAAAAATGGTACATGCTGTATGTTACCAATTCTCCAAGGGTATGCAAATTTTTGAGCAGAACTATATAGTAGAAATAACCAAATATTGGTGATTTTGCCAGGGTGGGAGGTGGTTCCCCTTTGGGATGAGGATATTGAGGGAATATATGAAAGTGCACATTGATCCTTTAAGGCGTTTCCTAAGAGACAACTGCATTTATCTCTGGACTCCAAAAAGTTCTTACGGCATTGGATAAGATCTTTAGCTTTAAATGTATATAGTTCTAATAGCTGATGTCTTAAGGATGAAAGGCTTTTCTGTACATCTGACTATAAGGTTTGTTTATTATTTCAAGATTGTTGATGTCAGTAAGGATCTGTACAATCTTGGAAGGGTTTATGGGCCACCCAGAGAAGCATAGGGTCACAATTTTCAAAAGAGGTAATGGAAAAATTGGCATTCAGTTTACTGAAAGATCAGCCAGGGTTTTAGATCATGTAGGAGGCTGACATTTCGGCACCAATGCCACGCTCTATGGCTTTTGTCCAAGGATAGGCCAATTTGTAGGTAGCTGGGGTGCTTCTGCAGGTATGTGGCAGTGCCAATCATTCTTAATGGTACCTCCATGAGCTTTGTTAACATGTGTCAAAACGTATAGTAACATGGTGCCGAGCACTTTGTTGTGGTGTGGTGCAATTTTTAAAAAGGGTCATGCTCTTCTTTTGTTCAATTTTCATGCATAGGGCAGCCAACTGAAATGCAGGTGCTGGCCTAAGCATGATGTGCAGAATCACACCTAAATAAGGGTGAACAGAGCCTAAGACTAAAACGTATTCAGTCTACATTGATTAATATTAAATCAATATTTCTTTGTATCTTGAACACTTCTTCTGGGAGTTGTGGTTGGAATTTTTCATGGTCTACCTGACCATGGCTTGGTATCAAGAGATCCCTGAATTTTCCACTTCTTAATAAGTGATTGAACAGTTCTGACTGGTATATTCACAAGGCTTTGGATATCTTTTTATAGCCTTTTCTATTTTTATAAAGTTCCATTACCTCGTTATGCAGGTCTTTTGACAAATCATTTCTGCTCCCCATGGTTCAATATCTAGCCTCAGTGTATCCACATAAGAGCTAACAACTTCTAGAATAAATCAAACTAAAGTATCTGTTACATATAATCCCTTTTAGAAATAACAAACTGGTATTGAGAATTCATCAGATGCCCTGAGGTATGCTTTTTAAGCGTGCTTCTCATTTTCCAGGTAATTAATACTTGAAGCTATTTAGATTTTTATTAGCCCCTCATTTATCCATTCAGGAATAGTAATGTGGAGACTCTGGGCTCTTTAAACTGCACTGATGCAGGTAGGGCTTCATCAGTTTTAAAATGGCCCTGTACATCTATCCTAAGACACAACCATTGTACAGCGCTACTAAGCAGGAAGCACTGATCACTTTCGCATCTTTTTTTTTTTTTAAAAAGACTTGGGTTTTCTGTAAAATAACATATATTTTATTATTCCAAAATCATTTTTATGCATGTTGTTTTTGAGGTGAATTTTTGTATTGTATACATTTTAGAAAAAGCTATTGAAATCATTATATATTTACTAACTTTTAACTTTAGACCACCAAATCTTTCTTGCCTGCAATGATGAGAAAAAATCGAGGACACATAGCTACTGTGGCTTCTGTTTGTGGTCATGTTGGGATAACATATTTAGTAGACTACTGGTAAGTGATCCTTTCTTGCAAGAGGATGTCTGCTCGGGTCAAGGAAAGCATAGATTGCCTGGTCTTTTGGGGACCCTTTCGGCTGTCCATGCATGGCACAGATGATGGTCATTCATAATCCAAAGGGCAAATCATTTAATTAAAAGAGTAAACTAGAATTTATAATAAAACTTTTTTAAATTTTGAATATAGTGGGAAAGGATTAGAAGCCTTGCCATGATTATTTTCTCTTGTTTCTGAAAGTGGAAGTGAGGAGGAAACTTCCAGCAGTGAAATTTAAAAGCACTTTTTTAACACTTACCCACTCTATGCAAAGCTAAAAGATTTGGATGGAGTTCAAAAGCATTTTTTTTAAATTTTGCCCACAGGCAGGGTAGCTGAAGCTGCAGTACTCAATATTAATTTGAAACCATTCCCTGAAGTACTTCTGTTTTTCCAAAAGATGTTCTCAGTCTTCTAGGTTGAATGATGCCCAGATTTATTAAATCTGGAAGACAGAGAACATATTATGAATGAATGACCATCATTATGGCCCTCCGCCTAAGCACATCACTACAGTTTATTAAAATGGTATTAAGCACTTATGGACAGCCTTATAGTGGTTTTACTGCTATAGGGGGGCTCCCCTGTTCAAAATCACGTATATATACAGTGGGGATCGAAAGTTTGGGCACCCCAGCTAAAAATTTGTATTAATGTGCATAAAGAAGCCAAGGAAAGATGGAAAAATCTCCAAAAGGCATCAAATTACAGATTAGACATTCTTATAATATGTCAACAAAAGTTAGATTTTATTTCCATCATTTACACTTTCAAAATAACAGAAAACAAAAAAATGGCATCTGCAAAAGTTTGGGCACCCTGCAGAGTTAATATCTTGTACTGCCCCCTTTGGCAAGTATCACAGCTTGTAAACGCTTTTTGTAGCCAGCCAAGAGTCTTTCAATTCTTGTTTGAGGGATCTTTGCCCATTCTTCCTTACAAAAGTCTTCCAGTTCTTTGAGATTTCTGGGCTGTCTGTCACGCACTGCTCTTTTAAGGTCTATCCATAGATTTTCAATTCTGTTGAGGTGAGGAGATTGTGAAGGCCATGGCAAAACCTTCAGTTTACGCCTCTTGATGTAATCCCCCGTGGATTTCGAGGTGTGTTTAGGATCATTATCCATTTGTAGAAGCCATCCTCTCTTTAACTTCAGCTTTTTCACAGATGGCATCAAGTTACCATCCAAAATTTGCTGAAATTTTATTGAATCCTTTTTGCCTTCTGCTCGTGAGATGTTCCCTGTGCCACTGGCTGCAACACAACCCCAAAGCATGATTGATCCAACCCCATGCTTAACAGTTGGACAGAGGTTCTTTTCATTAAATTCTGTGCCCCTTCTTCTCCAAACGTACCTTTGCTCCTTCTGGCCAAAAAGTTCAATTTTAACCTAATCGGTCCACAGAACTTGTTTCCAAAATGCATCAGGCTTGTCTATATGTTCATTTGCAAAGTTCAAACGATGATTTTTGTGGTGAGGACGTAGAAGAGGTTTTCTTCTGATGACTCTTCCATCAAGACCATATTTGTACAAGTATCTCTTTATAGTGGAATAGTGTACCACAACTCCAGTGTCTGCCAGATCTTTCTGGAGGGATCGTGCAGTCAAACGTGGGTTTAAATAGTTTTTCTCACAATCCTGCGTGCTGTTCTGTCTGATATTTTTCTTGGTCTTCCAGATCTTGCTTTAACTTCCACTGTTCCTGATGACTGCAATTTCTTAATTACGTTCCGAACAGACGATATTGACATCTGAAAACGCTTTGCTATCTTCTTATAGCCTTCTCCAGCTTTGTGAGCGTCAACTATTTTCAGTTTCAGTTTCTAGACAACTGCTTAGAAGAACCCATGGTGCTGATTGTTGGGGCAAGGTCAGATGAGTCTGGGCATTTAAAACCTTTGAGATTGACATAACCTGGTCTTCCCAAACAATGATTGAGAATAATCCATGACACTGGCAGGTCTCAGCTTTGCAAAGGGGGCAATGCATGCTATAAATTCTGCAGGGTGCCCAAACTTTTGCAGACGCCTTTTTTTGTTTTCTGTTATTTTGAAAGTGTAAATGATGGAAATAAAATCTAACTTTTGTTGACATATTATAAGAATGTCTAATCTGTAATTTGATGCCTTTTGGAGATTTTTCCATCTTTCCTTGGCTTCTTTATGCACATTAATACAAATTTTTAGCTGGGGTGCCCAAACTTTATATCCCCATATATATGAGATTTTGCCTTTTCGCCTCACAGGGGCACTCGCTCACTGCCAGCACTGTGAACTGTCACAGCAAAAGTCGATCTGCGAGTCCCGGCAAAAAGATGTTTGCTGGCACCCACCGGTCGGTGGGCAGGGAGGAACAACAGAGCTCTGCCTATGTTTACACAGGCAGAGTTCTGTACTGACAGGGGAGAGTGATTGATCTCATGTCCCTGCAGATCTGGGAACATGATCCATCACTTCCCCTTGTACCGGCACCACCTAGTGTACACCAAGCACATAGCCAGGCACACACTTCACCCTTTGATCACCCTAGATGTTAACCCCTTCCCAGTCAGTGTCATTAGTACAGTGATCAGTGTATATTTTTAGCATAATATAGTGTCACTGTTTCCCACAAAGTGTCGGTTAGTGTAAAAATGTCCATCACGATATCGCAGTCCTACAATAAGTCGCTGATCACTGCCATTACTAGTATAAAAATTTTTTTTAAAAATCCTAGTATATGTTCCATAGTTTGTAGACGCTATATTTTTTTGCAAACTAATCAATATACACCTATTGAGATTTTTTTCTACCAAAAATATGTAGCAGAATACATTTTGGCCTAAATTAATGAAGAAATTTGATTTTTAATTTTTTCTATTGGATATGTTTTATAGTAGAAAATAAATTTTTTTTTTTTCAAAACAGTAAAAACCACTAAGGTGATCAAATACCACCAAAAGAAAGCTCTATTTGTCGGAAAAAAAAAGTACACATTTCATTTGGGTACAGCATTGCAGGACTGTGCAATTGTCAGTTAAAGTAACGCAGCACCATATTGCAAAAAATGGCCTGGTCAGGAAGGGGGGGGGGGGGGTAAATCTTCTGGAGCTGAAGTGGTTAAAGGCAGTACTAATGTCATCAACACTATTATTTTTTTCAAATGTTTGTAAATACAAATAGTTTTTTATTGTATGTTTGGTTTTAGTGCCAGTAAATTTGGAGCTGTTGGTTTCCATGAGTGTATGACTACAGAGCTTGCTGCTCTCGGAAAAGATGGAATTAAAACCTCTTGTTTATGTCCTGTGTTCGTGAACACAGGATTTGTCCAAAAGCCAAGCACAAGGTGAGAATCCTGATGTTGTCATATAATGTGCATACAGGAGGGGGGAGGAGCCTGAGTATGGCGGAAGTGGCGGAGGGCTTGATGTAGGAGCTCACTGCTAAGCTCCTCTACTAACCTCCCCAGGGGCCCTCTATATGGAATGAGTCGTGTCGAGACCTACCTGAGTGCCGGGGGGAGCGCGGGAGACCGGCCCACCTGGAGTCCGGCGAGTCAGAAAGCTGGGTTGCCAGGGACGGGAGAGCAGCATGGCCACGTGTCTAGCCGCAAAGGAGCACTGGGAGCGGAGGAAGCCGGCCGGCGAGAAGAGAGGAAGGCGGCTGTCTGCTCCCGGCTTTCTGCTCCCTAGTCTGCTCCCTGGCTGGCAGTGTATAGTGGTGAGGATGTGGACACTGGCTTTTTTTTTTTTGGAAGACCCCTATGGAAGCAGGAGAAGTAGCCCTGTGGAGTCCCCCCCAGGGAAAGAACTATACAGAGGAGCTGGACACCTGAAGCCCCCACCTGCCTTGCAGCAAGGGACAAGAGACGTGGGTGAGTGAGACTGAATGGAACTTTTACACCCTAAATGTCCCAATCTGCTGTTAAGGAGAGCAGGGGGGAGAGGAAGGAGTCCCAGGGGCTTTGAAATAGATGAAGAGGAGGAAAAGGAAGAGAAGAAGATTAAGCAACTTAAAAGAGGAAGAAAATTGGTCACTATTTGGGCTAAACTGGGACTGTTATATTTGTGTGAATCATCTGTCTCTACAAGAGAGTATAGAGGAGAATAAGGCCCATGGAAGCAATGAAGAACAAAAGTAGTAAAAGAAGTGGGCCTAAAGGGTCCCAAACGGGAACGATTAAACAATATACATCCCAGGAAAAAGTGACTCCAGAAAGATCCCAAGGCATAAACGGAAGGGGTGAAGGGGATATCAGTCTGGAAAGCAGCCCTAGACTATCGTTGGGTCTAAATGTTGGTAGTCAACAAACAATAGGAACCATGGAGATGAGACAGAGAGAAAGTGAACTACAAGTACCGAATAAAAAAGAAATGGCAGAGATGTTTAAAGAACTAGAGAAGACAATAAAGCAAGAAATGGCAACTATCCGAAATGATTTGGGGCAGTTGTTGGTGAGAGTGGAAGAAACGGAGGAGAAATTTAAAAATCAGGCCCAAAGCATTTCGGAATTAGAAAAGAAAATAAAGAATATGGGGAAAATTTAGAAAAAATTGATATAAAAGATGGAGGTACAAGAAAATTGGGACAGGAGGAGTAACCTTAGGATAAGGGGAGTCCCAGAGAATGCTAAAGGGGAAACACTGTAAGAATTAGTAGGTAAAATCTTAAACTCCATAATGGACAGACCTGCCCTAGAATTGACTGATCTGGAAGATATCGTGAGAATAGGAAAGAGCCAACAAGGCACGGGGAAGGAAAAACCAAGGGACATAATTGTTAAATTTAACAAACATGGGGATAAAGAAGCAATTTGGAGGAAGATCAAAGGAAAAGCATCAATTAGATATGGAGAAATTGATATTCAGATATTTGCAGATCTTACACCGGAGACTTTGTGGAGAAGGAGATCCCTGAAACCCCTTTTTAGAGCAGACGAGGAAAAAGAATGTGTTTTATAGATGGGGGACCCCAGCGTGCCTAATTGGATGGAAAGATGGAGTTACAGCTTATTTGAGATTTCCGGAAGACTTGAGAGATTTTTGTGAAAAACTTGAGTTGCAAAGAATGGAGATTGCCGGATGGGAGGAAGAGGAGAGAGAAATAGGAGTGATAAGACAAGAGGACTGGCAGTCTGTCAGAGGGAGGAATTAGGGGGGGGGGGGGGGGGGGGAGAGGGTTTTTTTTTTTTTTTTTTTTTTCCCTCTCCCTCCTCCTTCCTCTCTCTATCTCTTCCTCGCCCATTTTCCTTCCTTATAGTATGTTACCTAGAGTTCTGTTTCAGGGGGCATGTGAAATTTTAAAGAGTTAATTAAAAGTTAGAGGGTACTGGGGAGGTGGGAGGGAGGAGGAGCTGTCCATGGGCGGAGTTTGACCCCAAGTGTTAAATCGTAGGTGGAGATCTTGGCCCACAAATGATTAATGGGTATATTAGTAGCCTAAAAATGGGAAGGGGGGAGGGGGCGGTTGGGGGGATGGGATGGGGGGGGGGGGTATTAGGGTTAACACTCTGCAGGATTGAGGGAGGTACAAAAGCAAGGGAAAAGAGGAGGAGGGATGGATTGGAAGAGGAGTGATATAAGAAGGATGGAAGAACTACAAGTTATCACTTATAATGTAAAGGGGTTGAATTGTCCTGGGAAGAGATTTAGGTTATTTAAAGAACCTCACCATAGAGCATCTTCAGTGTTTTTTTTTGCAAGAGACACATTTTGAGATGGAATCTAAGGTTAAGTTAAAATCTAAATATTATCCAACATGGTATTATGCAGATTCCCCGATTAGGAGAGCAAAAGGGGTGGCAATAGGATTTGAAAAAAATATAAGGTTTGAGTTGGAGGATAGAAAGGTGGACCCAGAGGGGAGATATGTTTTTGAAGGGTAAACTGCAGGAGGTGGAGTGTACAGTAGCTAACATATATTGTCCAAACAAGAAGCTGTAGATATATTTGAAAGGTGTACTAAAAAAACTGATGGACTTTAAAAAGGGCCGTTTGATATTGGCGGGGGATTTTAATTTATGTATGGACCCATTAAAAGATGCAACCTCTTCTGTGCAGCGAGATGGGAGTAGGTCTCTGAGATTACTAAAGAAGGAGATCCATGAGTTCCAATTGGTGGACACATGGAGAATTATGCATATGAAGGATAGAGACTATACATTCTTCTCAAATGCACATGAGATGTATTCGAGGTCGGACTACATATTGATAGAACATCGATTTATTGAGTCAATGGTTGAAGTAGAAGTAGGAGCAATGACTATTTCGGATCACAACCCTGTTGGGGTGTGATCCGAAGGGAGAGATTTTTGTTAGGTTCGATGAGTGGTGTTATCATCAATTAAAATGTTTTGTGGGAAATCTCCCAAAATCTCTGAGAATGAAAAAGGATTGGAATTTGTTTGAAAGGTTGATGGATTCACGGGGGGATGGGAAACACGGCACGGCTAAAATATATAGAATTCTTACAGAATTAGACACAAGCACAAAACCAATGCACATAGTGAAATGGGAAAGATATATGGGGGTGGTATTAGATGAGGATAAACAGAAGAAAATAAATAGATTAGTTCCCGAAAATGTAAGTTTGAGGGATGTAGAAATAAACTACAAATGTTTGATAAGATGGCACATTACACCGAGTGTTGAAAATAAGATATGTGGGGAAAAATCACCATGGTGTTGGAGGGGGTGTGGAGAGTTAGGGACAGTGTATCACATCTGGTGGGAATGTCCAAAAATTCAAGTATTCTGGAAAACAATAGTACATTTAATTGAGATCATAACTGAGATAAATATTGGGTTAGACCCAGAGATTTGTTTGCTACATAAGTCAGAGATATCAGTTAGCAAATATAAGAATTTAGGTTTAGGGTATTATTTAAATGCCGCAAAAAGTCTGATCCCTAAGTATTGGAGAAAAAAACAGAAGTACCGAAAGAGGAGGATTGGATAGAAAGAATAAACTGGATTAGTAGGATGGAGAAGCTCTACTATATGCAGGAAGATAAGATGGAGATATACCATGAAAATGGGAAAAATCTGGAGTAAACGCGAAGAAGTGAAATGTAGAAGGATAGAGAGAGGGTGGAAGGGTAGGATATTCTTGCATTAGATGAGAGGTGTGAAAGAATGCAGAGTGAGTGGTTGGGGGTAGAGAGGATGGGTGGGTGGGGGGGGGAAGAGGGAAATGTTTTAAGAGGGAAAAGAAAGGTAATAAGAAATAGTTATGTATATTTATTGTGAATATGATGAAAGTGTTTGTAATTACTTTGAAAAATTAATAAATATTTAAATTAAAAAAAAAACATAATGTGCATACAGTGCCACACCACAAGTAAACATCTTATGCACCCATGGTGACATCGTTGAAGACATCTTCAAGCCATTAATTACATGTTATTTTATTTATTGTATTTAAAGTTAGTCTTTGTAAATATTGAAAATTATATGTCCCTTACAAAAAAGTAAGCACTTGAGGTGCCTGGTGTTCAGAAGAGCTGGGGGGAGGAGGGAGGTTGTCTAAGTACCCCCCATCCTTTAATCATGTCTAAGATTAGTTATACAGTTTTTGATGTAGATAGGGAGCGAAAGGCTAGCATCACTATAAAGAAGCTAAAGGAAAGTCCTTAAAAAATGTAAAGTGTAAATCCACCATCCATTTATGTTGTCTGGTGATACAGATCCAAGTCAATCATGATGCCCAACACCCTCTGAAAAATTAACCTATCACTTGATTCACGCCAAATGACATATCCCTGGTCCCTGCCACTACAATGTAAGCAAAGGAGCTAAGGTTGTAGGTGATGTCATTGACCATATATGGACGTGACAAAATTTGGTCAATCATGTCACTGGGATCCCCATGGTAAATGGATATGCAACAGAGAGCAGAAGGTGGTTGGGGAACACTGCTGTAGCCAGGGAACAAAATCTGTGCTTGATTAGCTGGAATTGAGGGAAGGGTAGACACTGGGGGACTAATAGATGCACGATGTCTCCATAAAGAGAACCTGTCATGTGTCCATTCTGTAAATGTAAAGAAGTGTTTAAAAAAAATTATAATAAAATTAACAGTGCACTGTAAACTGATAACCTGTAAATGCTTTTAAAACATCGCCTATGGAGGAACCATTGTTTTTTTTGCGATTTCACATTTATTTTGGACCAGTAGAAACCATAAAGGGGCACCTACACACTCCAGTGAGCAGCTTAGTAAGCCATTCATAACCTGTGAAGTGAAACTGTACTTGTTACATTTCTCAGTTGTTTGTCATAGTTCCTGCATGTCATACATGATTACAATGTGAAGTGCTTGTAGCTGATATCGCACATGGGAGGGAGACACTATAAGTAGTATATACTGTAATTTCTATTTTTTCAGCTCTAATATTATTATTATTACATCGAGTTTATATAGCGCCAAAGGGTTTGCTCAGCGCTGTACAATAGAGGGGGGGACAATACATGAAACAGTACAGCAACTACAAGCAGCACACGAGGGGTTAGAGGGCCCTACTCTTTTGAGCTTACAATCTAGAAGATTATGTTTTTTTCAGAGAGGTGACTTGTCTACTATTGTCTTATATTTCTTTAGACTAGAGGTGTAACTAGAATTTTCAGGGCTCCAGTGCAAAAACCCATGAAGGGCCACACCTAACCTAAGCCTGGGTTCTTTTACTCCCATCACGTGGTCCTTTATTATGGTCCCGCAGTGGGCCCCCTTCCTGCCCTTACATTGGAGCCTCCCCTTACATCAGAGTTCCCCTTTACAGTACATCAGAGTCTGCAGAGTTTTCCTTGTAGTGCAAAGGGGAACTCTGCAGACTCTGATGTAAAGGGGAACTCTGCAGACTCTGATGTAAAGGGGAACTCTGCGGACTCTGATGTAAAGGGGAACTCTGTGAACCCTGATGTTAGGGGGAATGTTGCGGACTCTGGTGTAAGAGGGTCTCTGGGTACAAGAGCCTCCCCCCCCCCCCTTACATTAGAGTTTGCAGAGCTCCTCCTTATTTCAGAGTTTGCAAAGTTTACCCTTGCACAGTAAGGGTGAACTCTGCCTACCCTGATGGAAGGGGGGGATGCTGGAAACTCAGAGGTTCTCTGGTCACCAGGGCCCTCCCTTACATCAAACGACAGAGTTCCACTTTTCACCAGCATCTGCAAGAGCAAATACACTACGGTAAAGGGGTTCACTGATGTAACTGGGTAGTGAGGACACTAATATAAGAGAGGACCTTCGGGTCTCCACTAACCCCCTTACATCAGTGACCACCCTATAGAGTGACTGACTACCCCACAGACTCTGTAGCTCGGAGCTATCACACATTGACCTCCTGTAATTGCCTGCAGGCTTTGGTCCTCCACTCACCTGCGTCCCAACCTTGTATTCACTTTCAAAAAGAGAGGCGCCATGATGTCACTGCACACAGTTGTTTCTGAGCTTCCTCTCCCCCCATGCCCCCTCCTTGCACACTTGCATACCTGACCTGCAGTCTACAGTCTGCCCCCCTGCTCCGCCCCCCGACTCAAGCCGAACCCAGCTGAGCCCAAGTCAAGCTCATTCGATTAGTAATGAGCTCCTCTCAGCTCAGGTAGGGGGTAGTCTGCTGGTCAGATGTGGAAGGAGGGGGAATGAGGAGGAGAGGAAACTCAGGGACAAGAGTAGTTTTAACGGCACTTTTCTGCTGTTTATAAACAGTAAAAAAACACTACACAAAAGCACTTTTTTTTTACTGGCAACGCTGCTTGGGGCCCCTCTACAGTGGTGCAACACAAGGGCCCGGTTTCAAGGTTGACCTTTACGACCCTGGTAGTTCCACCACTGCTTCGGATGCCAGCAGTGAGATCCTGCCTTTGTCCTAACACAGAAATTAAGAAACTGTTTATATAGATCCTTTTAATTAAAAAAAATAATGTTGCTAGCAGATATACCTGCATCAGCTTTCTTTACCCACTTTGTAAATGGACAGAGCTCTAACACTTCCGGCGAATGTTGGAGCTTGCCCTCTTCTCCCCGATACATTTCTATTTGGCCATCACTATGACTGTCTCTGGGGCTAATAGATACACATGGAAAGTTGGAGGAAGTGTCCGAACTTTGCCTGAAACCTGTCCCTGCTTTTATGAGAGTTTCACACCTGATGCATTCACCAAATATAAAGTAGGTTGAAGCTATAAAAGTGAAAATGAGGCAGTCTTGTGATAACTGCTGTGTGCAAGGAGAGCTAGAAACTTGCCATTTGAACCCCTACGCTACTGTATATATAAGAAGTGGGAAGTGGGTATTGAACCATCCATCAGCATCCACCCAAAAACTAAAATTAGACAATAAATATCTTCCTATTATTTTTTGAGATGTAATTTTATTTTCACTCTCTAAATTCCAGATTATGGCCTGTACTGAAACCTGAAGATGTATCTAGGAGTTTTGTGATGGAATACTAACAAATAAGAAAATGATTTTTGTCCCTTCGTATGTGAAAAACTACCTGGTGCTAGAAAAGTAAGTTAAGGTTGCCATCACTAAATACTGAATACCATTGCACTCACTTAAGTGAACCCTGGATCCCTATGCAATAAACACAAATCAATCTCAAAACACAAACTGATCCAGAGCATATAATGTAAGTGTTGTAACCGGGAGGGGAATAGAATATTTTATATTTTTATACATTTTTCATTTTTCCTGATCCAATTCTCTCATGCACCTCTGCTTCAATATATTATGAATAATAGTCAATTATTGCTAGCTATCTGCAAGCAATAGCTCATTATTGTAATGATCTGCTGCTGCAGGGCAAGGCTGGGTGGATCTGGATCAAGACTAACAGGATCACCAGCCAAGGGCCCCACAAACAGGCATTCTGAAACAATGCATTTTAGGGATGAAGTAAGCGTAAGTATGTGCATTTCATTCATCTCCATTCCCCAGATCAAGAAGTCTTTGGGTCTGAAGATCTGGAATTTGCATAATTATGCTCTTATGGCATTGCATTGCAGAAAGCTAGCTGTTGGGAAACTCTCTGTAGACTTGTAACTTGTCTTTAAGATCAAAGTTCTCTTTAGGGGTGACATATTAAGTATCACCCAGCTATTTATAGTATATAATGTTTCTTCTTTTTTTTCAGATTTCTTCCTCAAAGGGTAATAGCAAGGATAAACAAGATGCAAGATGTACAGTTTAGCACTGAGTTCAGAAGTGCATCAAAAAACCAAATAACTTGGTTCTAAGATTCTTGACAACATTTTGACATGTTTGAAATAAATTTAGGTAATTTGTAGATGAATAATAAACAATTTATTTTGTTACATTTTGTTAATAATACTAGCCAGGGGTATCATATCATGTGTCACATTATTTTGCTCATAGAAACACTCTAAAGCAATTACATATATTATCCCCTTCCTGACAGCCCTATAGCAGATATGCTGCTACAGGACAACAGGGGTGCTCAAAATCACATATATGTACGTGATCTTGCATTTACGGGTAAGGGGCACGTGTGCCCTACCCGCGCCGCCATTCATGATGACTCTCCGGAGCTTGATGATTGCCGAGCATCTCCGACAGGGAGAACTATAAGTAAACAAAACAGTTCTCCTCCCTGTCAGCTCGTGCACACTGCTTTGCATGGCTGTGCACAGCCCAGCCATGCAAAGCAGTGTGATTACAGTGAAGCACTAACACAGCCCCTAGTAAAACGGCACACAGTTAACCCTTTGATCACCCCTCATGTTAACCAATTTCTGCCCAGTGCTATTAGTACAGTGTCAGTGCTTTTTTTTAGCACTGATCACTGTATTGGTGTCACTGGGGATATCAGTGACACAAAGTCAGTTCCCCCCTGTGTCAGAATGTCCGCGTCAGTCCCACTATAAGCCACTGATCACTGCCATTACTAGTAAAAATAAATAAATAAAAATTCCAGTATATATACTGCCATTTGTAAGTGCTATAATTTTCATGTAAACCAATTAATTTACATGAATTGGGATTTTTTTTTAGCAAAGACATGTAGCGGAATACATTTTGGCCTAAATTTATGATGAAATTTGATTTTTTTTTTTATTTTTTTACTGTACATGTTTAATAGCAAAATATAAAAAATATTGTTTTTTTCTCAAAATTGTCAGTCTTTTTATAGCGCAAAAAATACAAACCGCACAGGTGATCAAATACCTCCAAAAGAAAGCTCAATTCATGGGAAAAAAGGACATACATTTAATTTGGGTGCAGCGTTGCATGACCACGCAATTGTCAGTTAAAGTAAGGCAGCTCCATAAGGCAAAAAATGGCCTGGTCAGGAAGGGGGGTAAATCCTCAGGAGGGCAAGTGGTTAAACTGATATTATTATATACCATTGTTTGGTATTTATACACATAATCTTTCACACATAAACAAGAAATGACAAAGGATTTATTTTACAGGAGGGCACAGCAGAAGCTGTCTGCCTTAATTTAAACCTGTGCTTTGCCCATGTCAGCATTCCCCCCCCCCCCCCCCCTCATTATTCCATCTACCTGCAGGTGAAAAGTACCTGGTACTTCCAGGTAGGGGCTTATGTAACTCACTCCCCTTCCTCTTATCTGACAGTGCTGGTGCATGGCCACACACTGTAATATGGGGACAAGGGAATAGTCCTATGTATCCTTTGACATTTTGTATATATTTAATTTTTCTCATAGTGCATCAGTAAGTCCTAACTAACTGAAAACAAAACAGATATACACTATAACCATGAGTATTTGAACAATAAACTCTTCAAGATAATAATGTATGTCTGTTTGTATATTATTTTATTCTACTGTCTTCCATCAAATAGTTTAAAAAGGATACATGGAATATGAAAATTGCATTTCCATTATTTTTGTCTCAATTTTTTATTTTTCAGAGGACAGGTGCCTTTGTTATGAAACACCACAAAATCTGTGTTGCCAATTCTTGTGGTTAAAAAGGTACTATATATGTCCCATATGATTGCTAGCTGGGCACATAGCAGACCATTAAACCTCAGGTACACATTTTGCATTTTGAAGGGCTATTTTCAACATTAATTTTAGAGCGTCACAGCTGCTTCACAGAGCACATGAAGTGGATGAACATAAAAAAACCTGCAAAGGTCACCAACTTGAAAAGTTGACCCTTTGAGTTACTTTAAAGGATAAGTTCACCTTTCAGAACATGTTACATTTTACACCCATATTTAGGGTGTAACATGTTATGAAATTAAAGGCCTGCACCCCCCCAATCCCCCAATGTGACAGTAAGCGGGATATCTTCTCTCCCCCACTAGCTGCCCACCCGGCTGCATCACTCATTCACAGCATTTAATGACATTTATGTCATTTACATTCAATGACATAAACCACATGTTATTGAATGTAAATATGGGCTTCAGTATGTGGGGAGGACCACGAGAAAACAGTAAAAAATTTGGGGAGCATATTAGGATATCAGGAAAGAAAGGGTGCAAACAACATAGTTTATCTAGACACTTCATGGAACAACAGAACAGAGACCCTAAGGGTATTAAATTTTACATTAATCATAAAATCAAGTGTCACTGGAGAGACACAGTAACAACAAGAAGATAGAGGTGAGAAATGAAATAGATTTTTGAGTTGGACTCATTATTCCCAAGGGGACTGAACATAGATTTAAATTGCTTTTATTTCCAATTATTGGAAAGATATTTTAATTGTTTTATAAATATATCTATTTTTAGGAGTATTATACAAGTGGAGGAGAAAGAAGTGAGTCAATAGTCAGCTATATTGGTATAAGCTTAGGAAGTGCTACATATGTACCAGAAAATAGGGATGTTTTTTGGCAAGTAGTAAAGAGTTACTGTAAGTTCCACTGGTCACTGACACTGATCAGTTGAGGAGGGTATATATGGTGATGTGTGAAGCAAGGTGGCACTGCTACTGATGACGTCACGCTGATGAAACACTTTTCACAGCTTTCTTTGCATCACTTACGGTGCTTCACGGTCAGTCCGTGGAACGCAGGAGTGACCTGGATACACAAGTAAGCGCTGGTGCTTGTATATGAATGCAAGCCAATTTATCTTGTAAGTGTGATTTTATATTGTGAGAGAATTTTAAATAAACAGTATAACACTATGGGAGATTGCTGTCTGGTACCTTCTATATTCTGTGGTGGTGTGGAGGTGTAAGGAGTGGATAAGAGACACTGCTTGGCAAAGCGCATACACCTGGAGGATAGTGATGGTTAACAAAATTCTAAGTGACCCACTTTTTAATAAGGGGTCCTGGAATTTTAGTGAGTGGGCTCCACAGAGGGGGAGTATGAGTGTCACATGGATTGGAGGAATCTGCAAATGGCACTTTATGTTTAGAGCAATTGTTGCAAAGGATTGCACTATTTTAACCTTCCTAGCGGTGATCCCCAGTGTGACTCGAGGTTAATTTACAGTACCAAAAGCGGTAACCCCCAAGCCACACTCAGCATTACACTGTAGTCCTTGTCCTGCGATCCCCTGGTTCCTTACCTTGTGCTGTAAGGGAAACCACCCGGAGGACGTCGAGACTTAAATAGTATACCACGCATGCGCAAGCGCTACAAGTTCTACAATCCATTCCATAATTAGAAACTAATTAGAAACTAAATAGATTGTAGAACTTAAATCTTTGTCCCCATATGGCCTTATCATGGATTTAGACATAAATTTGTTTTATCGATAATAGTTGATTTTTCTCCTATTCTATTTTTGATTTTTATTCTATTCTAACTCAGATATTTAAAATTTATTTATATTATTGAGATCTTTGTCGTTTTAATCATCACCTAGCCAGTCACATCTTTTATTTTTTATTTATGCATTTTATATTCTATTCCATTTTTTTATATGTGTGCAGGAGGTGGGGTCTATTCAGGTTTTAGGAATTATATATTTATCGCCATCGCCCCTTTATGCTTATATTATATATTCATATTTTATACTTGATAATGAGTCCCATTATGATATAGCTTCATTTTTAGCTGTAATTTATATACTATTGTTTTTTTCCTTTTTATGTATATTTATATTGTATGATGTTATCTGTATAATTGTTTACAGATTGCCAATTGAGCCTTTTTAATTATCATTCTTAATATTTATATAGTAATTTATCCATATTATATTATGTTGCTGTGATTTGTAGTCCCACAAGTGAATTACCAGCATTGTCAAATACAATGTGGGCTACAGTAATATGGAGTCCGTTTCATATATACTCTATACTGTGTATGTAAATAAGATTGGACTCAATTAAGATGGCGTCTATCGCTATCTTCACTAATATATTATAATATATTAGTTAGTCTTAATATCCCCTAAGAGTTTAGCTCTTCTTGACTTTTTTATGTAGGTCAAAGGATTGGCAATTTATCATTGTTTAGTGCGGCATTTCTCGGAGATGAAGTGACGTATGGTCACTGATCTCGTCTTCCGCTCGTGCATGCGCATAACTGCAAAGTGACGTGCGCTCACTCATGCGCGGTATAATATTTAACTCTCAAAGTCCTCTTGGTGCACTTCACCCCTTTGACAATGTGCTGGTGCACGAAACGCATCAGTGAAGCCCACCGGAGTGACGTCACGCCGCACACAGCCACGAGGAAATGCGGCGGCCATCTTTATTCAAGTTTATATTACCACATGTGAGTTTTATCATTTTATCATTTTATCCCGATTTTTGCCTACTTCATAATAAAACATTACATTATAACTACACTATTGGCACCTATTTGTTCTCTGGCTTGATCATTACGAGCCCAATAAGGTGGAGCCATCTTTGGATCTGGAGCCATATCTTGGAGCTGTTTTCTGATGGGTATGTGAGCGGAGTGTGACCCTTGTGTGTGAGCAGCATCATCCTGTGTCCGCATTTGAGCTTGATGAGCCCGCAGCCCCGGACCAGACCTAGATGACCTTATTGCAGGATATATTTATATTGCACATTATATATGCGCTTCTGGTAAGTACATATTTGTACTGGCTCTCGGCACCTGTAAAACACCAGTGCGGAGCACGGATCACCTATTTATGGACTGCTATATTTGTTGATTGGAGTATTCACAATTGTCACTCAACTATCTAACTTGTGTCATATAGATACGTCAATATAAGACGTAACCATCACTTCACCAATTTTGTGCCTCAAATAGCGCTCACCTTATATTTATACAATTTAAATACCATATTTTTTATT